CAGGAGGGTTGGACTAGATGACCCACAGAGGTCCCTTCCAACCCCTGCTATTCTGTGATTCTGTAATTTCAGACTCCATATCTCTACAGCACCTCAAGTTAACCCTTGTGATACAAATACAAGTTTTAAAAGATGGAAAAACAGTTTCTGACATTCACAACACAAAACCTTGATCATTTGTGAGTGGTCCATCTGAATGCTTCAGTGGGCTTGAGATAGCCTTCTACGTACTGGTGGTATCTTCATTATGATAACGTAACTCACATCTGTGTTTCACAGCATATGGGTGCCTGGTCAAATAGAACACTGATGTTTTCAGTGCTGGACAAAGCAGAAAATGTAATAAAAACCAGAAATCCCCAGGAAGTCCGGAAACTGATGGTGAGTATCCATTGCGTCTCCTACAGAAGATTTCTGTGGGGTGTTTGTAGAAAGCTATAGGAATTTCCTTATGAATTGGAGACAGAAGGATCATTGCATTTATATAGAACACCACTTTTGAAGCCTACCAGCAGGCACCTCATGAAGAGGTGCCTTATGCGTCTCCTTAGATTCCATCTGGTTTGTTCAATTTCTTTTCTAGCCTGTCATAAAACAAATGGAAAATATTCTCCAAACACCATTGTTCCCAGAAGACCCTCTGGAAAACAAGATGAAGAAGATTGTGGATGCTCTGTTCAGACACAAAAAGAATATCTTGATGGAGGTGGTGTTTCACACTGCATTTACTCTGGCCCTATCCCAAAGTCCCCTCACTCAACTTTTCAGTAATATCTGCTTTAAGCCTCATGTGGTGAAGGTAAGTCAAGATGTAGCGATACAGATACTTTGCTTCGTGATAACGCTGTCAGGGGTGAGATCTGCTTTTATACAACCAGCTCTGTCAGCTTACAGCCAGATGTGGTTTGGGTCAGTTTGCAGCTTTCTGGGTAGTTGCAAATACTATATGGAACCTTCTAGTTTTTCCGCTCCCTTCTGGACAGTCCACTGAGAGCAAACTGAGACTGTCTGTCACTATCTGTATTGAAAGTGGGGGACACAGCCTGATGCAGATGCCCATCTCTCTCCGGTGAGTCCAAGGGAGCCTGGGGGCCTGGCGAATGTTCGTTGTTGAGCAAGCTTATATGACTCAAATTCTAGCTCAAACTCTTCATTCTGACCACAAACACACCATCTGTCAGGTAATGACAAACCTTCTACTAGATTAGGGCCCTCTTTACATCTGAACATGCATAAATTCTTCCTACTCTTTGAGGAGTGCAGAAAGCAATTGAGATGCCCATTGCCCATCTCTTGGCTGTGAAGACAATGGCAGTGTCCAGATCCTGCCCCTTCCCTCTGAATCCTCGGTTTGGCAGGCCGATACCAAAGAAGGGACAAAGCTGCTTACTTGGACATCGATGTTCTTGTAAGCCCAGCCATCCCCAATGTATCCATCATATCCCCAGTGTGTGTGCCGAGAAGGACTTGGGGGTACCGGTGGATGAAAAGCTAGACTTGAGCCACCAATGTGCGCTCGCAGCCCAGAAGGCCAACCATATCTTGCATCAAAAGAAGCATGGCCAGCACGTCAAGGGAGTGGATTCTGCTCCTCTACTCCACTTTCATGAGACCTCATCTGGAGTCCTGTGTCCAGCTGTGGAGTCCTCAGCACAGGAAAGACGTGGAGCTGTTGGAGCAGGTCCATAGAAGGGCCACAAAAATGATCAGAGGGATGGAGCACCTCTCCTGTGAGGAAAGGCTGAGAGAGTTGGGACTGTTCAGCCTGGAGAAGAGAAGGCTGCAGGGAGACCTTATATCAGCCTTTCAGCACTTAAAGGGGGCTTCTGAGAAAGATGGGGACAAGATTTTTAGCAGGGCCTGTTGCGATAGGACAAGGGGTAATGGTTTTAAACTAAAAGAGGGTAAATTTAGACTAGATATAAGGAAGGCATTTTTTGCAATGAGGGTGGTGAAACACTGGCACATGTTGCCCGGAGAGGTGCTATATGCCCCATCTCTGGAAACATTCAGGCTTAGGTTGGACAGGGCTCTGAGCAGCCTGATCTAGTTGCAAATGTCCCTACTCTTTGCTGGGGGTGTTGGACTGCATGACCTTCAAAGGTCCCTTCCAACCCAAACTATTCTATGGTTCTATCCCCAGTTGATATAATGCTGTGTCCCTTGGTCTATGTCTCAGTCAAGCTTTTACATGTACCCATTTGCATCTGACTTTTTTATCTCCAGAGCTGTTATTTCTCCAGTAGATGAGAGGCAAACAAGAAAAATGGTTGCATGATTACTCAAATCCTTCTTTACATCTGTGTTTCCTTTCTAAGGGGTCCTACCTTCCCACTATGCCTGGAGACCTGCTTTTTAATGAGAAGAACTGGAAAATCGGTCAACATGATACAGTCTGGAGTAAGTGCTGGGGAAATTTTACTTCAGTCCAGCCCAGCTGCTCCTATATGGATGGCAGACACAGGAAACTTGCTAAAATGTGCCCTGAGTCAGCCTGACCAGTGGAGGGAGGGAAAGGAGGAACAGGTGGATGGAAGGAAGGGTGGCTTTCTTTAAAGATATCTCTGTGCTTCTGTTGAGTACTTTACTGATCTCCTTTCGGCTGCAGCAACTCCAAGTCCATTTATGGCAAACTCTGTGAGAACCATGTCATGAGTAGATCCCAGTAGATGGCAAAAAGGTCTTACTCGAGAAAGGCCTCGGCTGTTGCTCTCCCAGTGAATTTCTGGCCAAGCTTTCATCATGGAGGATTTTGTAATTTGGAGGCAATTGACTGACTAATCTCATTTCCTTTCACACACAGCTTGTCAGTGTGGATCATACTGGATCATCACCAACGTAAGTGTCTTCTGGCTTTTTGTGATGCTGAGGGTTTTCTGCCTGCTGTTCGGTTTTCTGCCCCACATCTTACACTGCTGTCACTTCTTTACCTACAGTGCGGGCGTCCTGGGGAAGTCAAAAAATGCCTATGTGGTGCCAAAGTTGGAGGAATTAATCACAAACCTGTGAGAGGTTTCATGAGGAAGGAAATGTAAGTTGATGCTCCCTGCCCTACAGCCCAAGAGAGATGAACATGGCTGTGTCCACTTGATCCTCTTTCCATTCTCTGGGCACAGAGGAAACACTGTAGCTAGGCAAAGCAAGGTATTTGTGACCTAGGGTCCAATCACAGGAGGAAATCTTGGAAATTACCTGCTGGGAGGAACAGAGAGGAAACAAAGCATGAGTAGCACTAAACAGCTGGAAAGGGCATTTCTTCATCAGCAGTTCTTCCCTTGCAAAAGTCACATCTCACCCCAAGTTCACACTTGTTCTGACCCAGTGATGGTCAAGCCTCTGTTAGTGTTAACTTACACAAGATGAGCCCCGTCACTGAGAGTGTAAGCTGAACTACATTTCCTTATAACAGCACAGAGGATAAAACAGGAAAAGGATACATCCTTGGGAGCCCTTTTATACGGAGAACTGAATTGGAGAGGGACCTGTCACCTGCCTCTGTCTGTCTTGCAAGAACTCTACTGCATTCGTCCATGCTGCTGGGGATCTACACAGATAAAGAGGTGAGACAGCACCTACTTCTTTTCTCTCCCTTACCTCCTGTCTGTCTGTCCACCCCACTTAGCCTGGACCTTCCACATGATGACTAGCTGCTGCCCTACTCTGAGAGGAAGCTTTCTTGAGAGCTAAATTAAGAAACCACTCTGTTTTCCAGGCGATTCTGAGTCTGATGACAAAGAAGCCAAAGGATGTGGCAAAATTCTTCTGGGACCACCTTGAAAAAGATATTGAATGCCTAGCAGAGGCACTTAGCAGAAACACGGAGGATGCCACTGTAACTGTCCACCTGTTCCTCCAGCACTTAAGCAACAGTACAACAGGTAAAAGTACATTCCACACATTGTGAGGGTACCCACAGGCTTACATCAGGTTGGTTTTCGCACAGCCACTGGAACTGGTGGCTCTCATCCCATGAATGCAGCTGTTCTGCACAGACTCCAGTGTCTACAGCAAGGCCTGTTGTGACAAGAGAGGGAGTAATGGTTTTAAACTAAAGGAGCATAGATTTAGGCTGGATATAAGGAAGAAATTTTTTTTCAGTGAGGGTGGTGAAACGCTGGCACAGGTTGCCTAGAGAAGTAATGGAGGCCCCATCCCTAGAAACATGCAAGGCCAGGTTGGACGGAGCTCTGAGCAAGCTGGTCTAGTCGAAGATGTCCCTGCTCACTGCAGGGGGGTTGGGCTAGATGAACTCTGAAGGTCCCTTCCAACCCAAAGCATTCTATGATTCTATGATGATCTAGTTGAAGATGTCCCCGCTCATTGCAGAGGGTTTGGACTAGATAACTTTTAAAGGTCCCTTCCAACCCAAACTACTCTATGATTCTATGATTCTGCTGAGAGAGGGTCCTTATTTTGCTTTGCATTTCCTACAGGACAAAACATGGCCTTGAATATTTTGCTTACGCAAGAAGACCGAAGGCAGTGGGAAAGCTGCTTTAAAAGCCTGACTCAGCCATTCTTCCAGGTAAGTGAGGATCTGGTCATTGTGTTTCCAGGTATCCCATATACGAACTACCACTTTACCAGTGATGAAGTGCAGAGCCCACATAGGCTCTGGTGAACACCCAGACACATCCAGTGAGCTGGGACATGCCCACATGCAACAAACAATTTTATCACCTCTTTTTTAAGACTATTTTTACATGCTGATTCAAATATCCTTTAGAAAAAAATTGGCTCTATGACTTGGAGGGCAAGAAAATTCCCTGTTGGTTTCTTTCAGGGAAAGTTTGTTCTTGTCTCAGCTTCATTCTTCAACACGAAGTTTTTACTTTTTCTTCCGTTTCTTCAGAGCCACTATTGTCTTCCCTCATGAGAAGACTTGTAAGTCCTCCCAAACCCTTTTACAACAGAAGGCTGCTCCTAACAACCTTTCAAATTCCACAGGCCTTGGAGAAGAACCTTACTTCTGTCAAGCAGCAGAGGATGAGAGATCCTCAGGGCTCCAACCTGCTCCTACAAATAGCTTATGGCTATATGACTCCTTTCAAAGACCAGCCAAACCTTGGACTGATTGGCCTGTCCTGCATGTGGAGATTTGAACAAAAGATGTCCATCCAGACCCTGATAAATCTTTTTCAGCAAGAACACAGAGAAGATGAAGGAAACCACTACCCTGTTCTTCTGGAGCTCATATCTAAGGTTTGCTGTAGAAACATTCCTCCTCCTTCAAAGCAGAAACAGGCATCATGTGGACTCACCATTGTTGGTGTCAGTGGGGCACTAGTCTCATTTCCCTGTGTTTCCCAGTACAACGCCCTTCTGCTAAATACCACACAATGCCAGACACAATCCCAGTTCCTCTGATAAGTGCATGGATAGCAAAGTCATGCTGAATTTTCCCTTTCAGCTCCAAAATATCCAGCATGTCCAACACCTGCCTGACATTTTCAGTCTGCAGAAAGCCCTGATCCACTTCTTCCAGAACAGCCATGGACGGGAAATATGTTCAGTACAACAGTTCCTAGACCAATATGAACTGTCAGGTACGACATGGACCTATTCCAATCCCAGTAAAGTGGCTTCTGCTACTCCTCAACACCCACATGCTACATTTTGATGTTATAGCAGGACCTGTGATTTCTGCTGAAAGCCGTGGTGGAGCAGCAAACACAGGACTGTTCCATGAGGGAAGATGAGCCAGGAACTAAGGGTGACCACAGCACAGACCAGGCAGCAACCAGGGTGTAATCAAGGCAAGCCCAGGGTAGTGACAGAGCCAGGTTCTGTCAACAGCTCAGTGATCATAACACAAGGCAAGGTACTAAGTCCAGGAGGAGTCTAGGAAGTCCAGTCAGTAAGTTACGAGAGCAGGAAACAGGGCTGCTTACAACTCAGGCACTGGCCTGAGCTTACACGTGTCTCCTGTGCCCATGGGGCAGGGGTGAGGTAGAGTCCCCAGGTCAGGCTGCTCGGGGCTATTAAGGCCTACTAGTGCCCTCAGGGCCCTGACACAAGCTCACAGTGGCGACTCTCAGTCATCTCCATCTTCATGGCCATCTTTAGGGTTTGGGGGAGAGGTTAGAGATCCCTGAGACATTGGAATGATCTCTGAAACACTGGAATGGGTCTTGGGCAGATTACATCCCACCCTCAGAGTAGGTATAGTCAGCAGGACTTGACAGACTTGTCGAGACATTTCCTGCTGTTTCATCCATGAATGGGCAACACGTGACAGGGTTTTAAGACTGTAAGCAGGTGTATTAGCATGGTGCACATGAGGTGGGATTCAGCACCCTGTAATGCCAGATATGGTATAATATGGGCTAGAAAGAAGTTAGTTCTGGTTAGGTTGGAGCTACAGATGTGAAAGGCAACCAAGGCCCAGCCTAACACAGTTTACTGAGCAGTTGCACACCGTAAGCTATATCTTTCAAGGAGAAAAAAATAAATCTTCTTCAGTTGCTTTCTTTTGGGAGCATGCATTGACACTGCTGTTTTTCTTCCCTCTCTGTGCCTGAAGACAACCAGCGTTCAGCTTTCTGCCGAGCTATAGGAACCATGCAGAAAGTCTGGAGCAATATCAGAATGAAACCAATGTGCTCAGGTATTTTGACTTCCCAGATATTGTTACTTTCCTTTCTTAAGCCATTGATGAAGGCGGAACCCATACCAGTTGCTGAGCTTGCTCTGTTTTGACTCTCTAGCTGGAAACAAAACCCTTCCAAAAATACAAAACCTAATATAAAAAACCTCCACAAATATTTTAACAAAAGCTAGCCTAAGTTTCCCCCTTGGGAGAATTCTTCCTAATCCACGAGGCAGGAGAGAAACTCTCATTTCGTTACAGATGTCAGAGTCCCCCTGGACCAGTTGCCAAAGGACATCAATGCCAACACTGCTGTCCTGACACTCCTCCCAGCTCCACTTTCTGTTGGTTACCTTGTGACAAGGCTCCTCATACAGCTCCAGAACAGTTGTGTGGACACAGCTACGCAGATCACCAAGGAAAAGCAATGGTAGGTTTCAAACTATCCCTCTGGAGGCAATTAGGACGTATCTAGAGCTGTACCTGTCACTGATTGCAAAGTGGGATGAGGTAAGAAGCAAGATGCCATCCTTAACAGCAAAAGGTAACTTCTTCTCTCTCAGGATCATCTCTGCTGAAGAAGTGAAACCATCTTCAGTGCTGAAGATAACTGAGAATGATCTGATCACTGCGGCACTGGCCAACTCCCAGTATGTGATAGAGGAAGACGGTACCGAGACAACACATTTTGACTTCCAGACACTGCAGCGGCAAGTGATGCAACGTTTTATCAGTGGGAAACCTATCATCAAAGCTCAGGTGAGCTTAGCATGATGCACCTCCAGCACAACCCAAGCTGCAGTGCTTCAGGCCAACAGATGGTGTAGGATTTTACCTCCAGCACTTGGTACTTACCTGTCCAGAGCTGGAGCAAACACACTTAAAGGTGCATGTACATTTGGCAGCCCACCACTCTGCATCTATCTGCATTCCTTTTATTGTAACAATTGTGTGTGTTCAAAAACCACACTGTGCTCAGCAAACCTTGGTGTTGTGAAAGATAATGCAAGCCTTTCTGTTTAAAGCTTGAAGGGAAGGTTAGCCTGGATTTTCTTTTAACACCACCTAATAAGATTCAAGAGAGTTGAGTTCCTGGGCACAGTATAGGGCTGGAGTCTAATGTTTGTCTCTGAACCACACTGGAGAAGCCAGTCTTCTGCTGTGATATTCATCCTCACTTATTTTAGCCTAGGGCTTTCCTCCAGAAGCTCTCACGGGACCAGATTTGCAAACAGTTATTCCCATCTGAAAAGGCAGGCCAGAGACACTTCAGCCCCTTTGAAACTTCCCATAACCCTCAGGTGGTCACGTAAATTTCGCCTGGGGCTCTCCTATGACTGCTTGTTGTCCCAGCTGCTTCCCATGTCAGGGTGTTCAGATTTGTGAAACGTGAAAATCTGGCCTGGAGAAAATGGGAGAAAGGGGTTCAAGGGCATTATAACATGGCTGTCACACAGTGATCAGGTCCACGTGCTTATTAGTGGAGTAGTATAGCAGAGAAACTGACACACAGTCACTGAGAAACAGAAAGACTTTGGCTGGAGGGAACTCTGCATGTTTCTGGTCCAGTCGTTTTCTCCAAGTAAGATTAACTTCAAAGCAAGAGCAGATTGCTCAGGGTGTTGTACAGCTGAATTTTGGAAATCTCCAAGGATAGAGATTTACCACCTCCCTGCCCTTCTGTTCTGATATTTTAGCACCCTCACCATGAAAATGTTTTCTGCATGCTTACATAGGAGATCCCTTGTTGCCCCTTGCCCTTCTTGCCTTTCCTGAGATCCCCCTTTTAGCAGTGAAAAGCAATTAGATCCTCCCCATAAAGTTCTCGTTTACAGGATGAACAATCCCTTGCATCCTGTTCTGCAGCTCCTCAGTTACCTTGTTGGGCTCTGCTGCACTCACTTCAATTTGTCAATGTCTCTTGTACTGAGGAACCCAAATTGAACACAGTACTCAAACTTCATCTCATAAATGCTGAATAGATGGAAAGAGTCATTTTGCTCATCCTCCTGGCTACATTCCTGCTAATATAGCCTGCTGTGCGCATGGCCTTTTTCACTACAAGAGCATGCTGCTGACTCTTGTTCAACCAAGACACACAGGTCTTTTCTGCAAAGCTGCTCCAGAGCTGGTCTGCTCTCAACCTATGCTGTTGCATACGATTGTTTCATCCCAAATGCAGGAATTTGCATTTGCCTTTGTTGAACTTCATGGGGTTCCTGTTGGCCCATTTCTCCAGCGTGTTGAGACCCCTCTGCCTGGCAGCCACACCCTCCAGCATATCAGCTCCTTTACCCAATTTGGTATCATCCGCAAACTTGCTGAGATGTCATGTCAGCTGTCACTGAAGTATCTTAACGACATAATCCAGCTCCCTCAGCACCACTGCATGTGTTCCATCTCGTCCCATGGACCTGTATATATCCAGCTGTACTGGTTCTGGCTCAGATAGAGTTAATTTTCATCTTAGAAGCTCATATGGTGCTGTGCTTTAGATTTGTGACTGAAACAGTGCTGATGATAACACACTAATATTTCAGCTATTGCTGAACAGTGTTTGCACAGCATCAAAGGCCCTCTGCATTTCTCATTCTGTTCCCCCTAGTGAATAGACTGGGCATGTGCAAGAGGTTGGGGGGGGACACAGCCAGGTAGATGACCCAGACTAATGAAGGAGATATTCCATGCCACATAATGTCATGCTCAGCAATAAAGCGGGGAAGAGGGGGTCTCAGGGAGGTTCCTGTCCTTTGTTCAGGACGTAGGCAGGCATCGGTCTACCCATGGGAGGTGGTGACTGATTGCCTTTGCATGACTTATTTTGTTTTCTCACTTCTATTCTTCCTTCTCTCTTCTGCCATCCCACTAGCGTAGACAAGGGGAGGGACGTGAGTGAGCAGCTCTGTGGTACTTAGCTGCCACAACGGCAACTTATCTCAGGAGTCCCTAATTTGGTCCTCTTTTTTTGTGACATGACTTTAAACTTTGCCAGTAAACACAGAGGACTGAAAGCAGACCTTTACAGTAAAATGTGAGGCAAAGAAAGCACCGAGTATCTTGATGAGTGCCTTGTCCATATCCTTTGTCAGTAGGTCCACTTCCTTATTGAGCAGTGGGCCCAGTTTTTATCTGGTCATTCTTTTGCTACTGATGTGCTGATGTAGAAGCCCTTCTTGTTGGCCTTCACATCCTTCAGCAGTTTCAACTCCAGATAAGCTTGGTCTTTCCTAACTCCATCCTTGCATGCCAAAGCAATGTCCCTACATTCCACTTGTATAGTGACTCCCTGCTTCCGCCTACCCCACACCTCCTACACAAGGCTGTCATTGCCACCGGCCCTGCAGCCAAGACGTAGGTAGCTGCCTCCGACTGCATGGTCATGGGCTTCCCATCTGGCCTGTGCCAAGTGATACCTTGTGTCTTCATAGACACTCATTTGCTTTTCAGACGGCTCCATGCTTCGCGCTGAGCAGCATGAAGACCCTGTACTACACGAAAACAAAAGTGAGAGAACAGCTACAACAGGTACAAAAGGAGTTCACCATCCTCTTTTTCCAGACAAGATTTCTTCTGCCTTGGAATGCTTATTAATAAGCCACCCCAGGGGACAGAGAGCTCAACAAAAAATATGGGACCTGCAGGATGTGTAGAAAGGTCAAAGTCCAAATCAGGCAGATGGCTGGAGCCTCACAAGGCGCCAGTTTTCTTTGCTGGCTCTAAAGGGAATCTAGGCAACTCACTCAGACTCATCTGTACAAGTGCCTAAACAAGGGGATGTGGTGACCGCAGCACGCCATGCACTGGCATGGTGGATCAGCACAGGTGGCAACAGTTGGGTTATTTTTCCTGCTTGCAACTAGGCTGGGGAACCCATATCCTTGTAGAGTCCGTGTCTTTCCCATGGACGTCACCCAGGTATCTCTAACTTTTCCTCTGATAAGAGGGCAGAACTGGCGCTGAAGGTTATACGGTCACTTTGCTGTACAGACTCACCTGCAGGACCCAGACGTCATGTGTCAGAGTCACAGTCTGGCTATATTTCTCCTGTTGATAGGAATCACTGAGTGTGAACCAGCTGAAATGGATCATGGAAGAAGCCCAATCGATAAATACTATTTCCCAAACACTTGCCACCTTGAATGTGGCTGCCGAGTTCCTGGCTGTGACTGGGGGGGATCCAGAGCGCCAGTTGTCTGAATACGTAAAAAATGAGCTGAAGATGGATGCAAATGCAGAACAGTTCAGAGACATGCCAGTAAGCAAGGCGCTTTGCTTTTACTGAATAGGAAATTGACTGAATATTTCCATCCTTTGTACCCTCCCCTAAGGATTAAGACATCCCCTTTTAGGTCACATGGTTTTTTGCGAGCTGAATATGTCCAGCTCAGTCGTGGCCTTTCTGAAGAGCAGGAACAGGATGACTGATTGTCCATCTGTTTTCTCCTCCTCCAGGTGGTACCAAACACTCAGCTGAAGCACATCCTGTCTCTGTGGCAGACGTTGTCAGCAAAGAGATCTGTGCTGCTGGTGCAGATGAATCAGGTGAGGGAGACAGCCTGGTGCACAAAACAGTCTACAAGATCTACAGGAAGAGAGAAACTTTTTGACAAAGTTGCTTTTCTGTGGAAAACTTTGGAAATTTTTAGGAAAGAAAAAAAAGAATTTTTTTGTGATTTTAGTATCTTACCATTCAGCAATAGCAAATCAATATTCATCACTTCAGTCACATAAGACCCTTGGAAAAGGGCCATCCACAACATGTAATGACAGAAGCAGTGGTGCTTTCTGGAGTGGATCATATCAGCAGTTGGTGCTGTGGTTTCTGATGACCCTGGAATAAGAGCCAGGAACAAAGAGAGTCCAAATTCTACATCTTCTGGCAGATGTAGCCCCTAGATGGTCTTTGCAGGCACTCCCAGGTCATCCTCATGCTGATGTTGTTGTCATTGCAGAATCCCTTCTGCTTGGTTTCCGAGCAGTACCAGAAGGAGTTGAGTGCAGAGGAGGACAAGGCTTTGAATACTGCACTCTCCACAGTTAACCTGGACTTGTTCCTCATTGAGCTCCATGAGATGATCATTGCGCCTCCAGATGACTTTGATCCACAGTGGGGGTAAGAGGAGATTTTTCCTGGTTTGTTCCAGGGTAACTGCCAACTCTTTAGACCCAGATGGAAGGGGTCTTGAAGTCACTTTTAAGGTGAGCTCTTGAAGCTTTCTGGAGAGAAAGGCCATGCCTTCCAAAAGTGGGAGTTACTGCAGCTGTGATAAGCATCATTGAGTCTTACTGTTATGCCCAGATAAAGAGAAGTGGGAGTAAAATACAGCAGAAACTCCAGCACCTTCAATCCATCTGGCATGACATGGGGAATCAAGGGAACCACTAAAAATCATACCATGATGGAGACAGGTCAGGAAGGCCCTCTAGAGGTCTCTGGTCCATCCCTTTGTTTTAAGCAGGTCTGACTTCAGCACAACAGCAGACTGTTCAAGGTCTTGTCCAGTTGTGTTCTGTCTATCTCCAAGGACAGTGCCACCAGCATTCTGCATTGTCCCAGGGCTGCACCACCCAAGTGGAGAGTGTTTTTTCCTTTATGTTTAGCCAGGTTTTCCACTGTTGCATCTTGTGCTTGTTAACTCTTGTCTTTTCACTGGGGACTCCAAGAAGAGTCTGGCTTCCTGTTCTTGACACCCTACCACTATCTAGTTAAAGATGCATTGAAAGTTCCCCTTTACCTTCTCTGCTGCAGGCTGAATAACCCAGTTCTCTACCTGCTTTTCATATGTCCTGTGCTCCAGATCTCTAACTGTACTGGTTGCGCTCCACTGAACTCACTCCAGAATGTTTTTCTTGTACTAGGAGCACAAAATCAGACACAGTCCTCCAGATGTGATTTCACAAGTGCCAACAGAGGAGAAAAATCACTTTTCTTAAAC